GGAAGTTCATGACCACGCTTAGAGTAGGACCGATGACGGAAGATGCTAGCGACGGATTTGCCAGGGTTCGAACCACTGAGAGCAATTGATTCTCTTTGCCTGTCGCGCGCTTGGCGCATCCTTGAGGCCATCTCAAAAATCTGTGTGATTCTAAGATGAACTGATAAGGAACTAGTGGATAGGTCATATTCATCCCAGTCCATCCGAGGATGGGGCAAGGGAGATGCGACCAGATTATTAATATATGGCAACTACAGAAGACTTCGCTAAGAGCGTCGATGGAGCGCATTCTGTAAGGGGCACGATGCATGAACTGAAAAATGGGAAAAATTAACATTTCTGGTGATGGATCTTAGGAAGCGACACGACTCACAAAGGAAGGAAATGTGAACAGATACGGAAATTTAATGGCGGCATACTAAATTCCCGTTGGCCCTTTCTCAGTGTCATAGAAAAAGTTGTCCGGGAAGGATGAGGAAAATAAATGTTTAATTGAGTCAGTATTCAGATAAAGGTGTAGCGTTCTCTTAAAGGTGTGTAGATTTTCCGAAGATCTTACATTTATTGGAAGGTTATTCCAGAGGAAAGTATATCTGGAAGCGAAAAAAGGGAGCGCTTGGAGGCGGAGGACGCTGGAGGAGGTATAATCAAGGACGAGTTGCGAAGATTGTACGGGCGACTACTAGGGGTGAGTGCTGAAATCCGAGGAAGATTTGAACTATTATTAATGAGAAAGAGGAGACAGAGGTCTGCTTCTAGTCTTCGAACCCATAAAAATTTTAGGTTCATTAGCTGGCATCTATCTGAGTAGGACATATTGGGATGTTCCTTGTTTAAAATTTTTCTAGAAAAACTTCTTTGAACATTTTCAACTTTTAAACGACTAGTTTCATTCATCAAACCAAAGAATGGGCAACAATATTCGAGAATGGGAAGTGCAAACATACGGTAGTGCCTTAATTTAATTTCAGGAAGATAGAAATTGTAACAAGTAAAGCCAAAAATCTGGGCAGCTTTGGCTGTAATTCTGTCAGCGTGTGGAGAGAGATCAAGCTTACTACTGTAGCTTAAACCTAAATCCTTGATGGTGGTACATTCAGTCATAAGTGTTTCTTGAAAGACCACTGGTTGTGCTAGCCTATCTGGTCCAAAACACATATAGCGACATTTAGACGGAGAGAAGTCCATTAGCCATTTTGAGCTCCAAGCTGAGAAAGCAAGCAAGTCAGCATGGATTTGCTCCAGGCAATGAAGGCTCGTAGATTTATTGAAAGAATATACACATATTAAATCATCGGCATAAATAAATGATTGAGAATGTTTAACTGCCGCCTAGATATCATTTATTTAAATCACGAACAAAAAGGACCTTAAACGGTGCCTTGTAGGACACCACATACAATAGGACTTTCACTGGAAAGTGAAGATCCTACCGAAACCTTTTGTTTACGATTAGACAGGTTTGACCTGAGAAAGTCTATTAGTGGACTGCTAATTCCCATAACTTCTAATTTAACCAAGAGTCCTCTATGTGGCACATTATCAAAGGCTTTACTAAGATCAAAATAAATAACGACAACAGATAGATGGTCATTTCGGAGAGAGGTAAGTAGATTGAGAAACGACAGCTGACATGTTTCACAAGAGCGATCTGGTAAAAAACCATGCTGGGAAGGGCTAATAACTTGATTGACTATGCAAAATTCGGTAATTTTTACGGCGATAATTTTTTCGAAGATTTTGGCGAAAGAGGGTGTTTTATGGACACCTCGATAGTTCTGTAAGTCAGAACGACAGTCGGACTTAAATACACGAATAATAATAGAAGTTTTCCATAGTCAGGGAAGAAGCCATTTACGAGAAATACTGAAAAGATTTTGCCAAGCAGAGGAGGAAAATCTCTTAGCTGTTTTATAAAAGAGTTTGGGATATTGTCCGTACATACTGAGTGAGAGTTAGGAAGATGGCTTATCAGTTTTTGAATACATTCAGGCGAAAAATTAATGATGCTAATAGAAGCAGCAGACAACGGAGGAATTAAAAGGATTGGGTCAGTTTCAATGGCGAAATGTTTGGCAAAGAATGAATTTAAAATTTCTGCTTTGCCAGACTCCTCTGTAATGAAGGCATCGCTAGTACTAAGCAATGGCGGAATGACTTGGTTGGACTTAGCAGATGATCTTTGACGGAAGTGCTGAGCAACTGATTTGGAAGCATTAATGTCATTAATAGCTGAAGACTCTCTACGTCTATCTCGCGCGAGCCTCATTTTCGAAGCTTGTTCAAACATTTCAACGATTCTTAGATGATCTGATAATGAGCTCACAGAAGGATCTTTAAACTGCTTCCGTAACTTTTTAAGTCTGTCTTTAAGAAAGTGTGGGATAGCGGTGGAATTATCACTCGATTTGAACATCTTCCGAGGAATAAGGTTAAGAAGACCTTCTGTTACGCATTGAAATAAATTGTTGAAAAAATTTAGATCATTATTTGAAAAAATGTTGCACCAATCAAGAGTGCATGTCAAGTTATTTACTAATTCCTTGTTAACATTAACAAAGTCAAAATACTACGTTGTACTATTGGCTTTGCGGAAATGGTAACTGGAAGGCGACAATAGATTAATGCATGATCACTTGCAAAAAGGTCATGATAGAAATCCATAGATGGACATCAACGTGGCTGGAACGGGCATCAGGAGTGGTGAATGTACCTGGCGAGGTAACAGTATGACGATGAATTTTGGCGCGCTGACAGGGTGAACAGGACCGGACCCAACGCCGGACATCCCGGTTAATTTGGGGCCAGTGAAATCGGTCAGTGATAAGTTTCACTGTCGCCCGGACTCCTGGGTGGAATAGGCCATGAAGGCTATCGAAGACTTGTCGGCACATAGCGGCTGGGACAAAGGGACAGTCGTGGCCAGTAGAAATGTCACAAGTGATGGTACCAGCTTGAGTGGAAGAGGGACATCTCGGAGAATATGAGAAGAGTCCGTATAGCGACAGTGAGAGAGATCATCATCGGTGCGTTGAGCGTCACCATGGGCGTGAAATCGATGGTATATGACGTGACAGAGTTCACCTGAATTCTGGAAAGAGCATCAGCAACCACGTTTTCCTTACTGTGGATATGTTGAATGTCGCAGGAAAACTGTGAGATGAAGTCGAGATGACGAATCTCACAGGGTGAGTATCGATCGGGAGAAACCCTTAGAGCACCAACGAGAGGCTTCTGGTCTGTAAGTACGACGAATTCGCGACCATCGAGAAAGTGTCGAAAATGCGGAATGGCTAGATAGACGGCGAGGAGTTCTCGTCCGAAAACACTGTAGCGGGCCTCTGCTGGGCTGAGATTTTTTGAGAAAAAAGCCGGGGGTCGTAGGACACCACCTGGAAGGACACCTGGAAAAACATCAGGTACAAGTAGCACGCCGGTCTACAACTACCCTGGAAACGTATCTTGTACACCCTTAGCACATAACTGACGACCTTGATAGAAAAGGCCTTGCCTACATAATCCCATGTGTCAGGTGTTGTGGAGTTTATTGTGGTCAAACTCGGAAATTTCCGTCGACCCCGCATATGCGAGCACCAGTTAGTGTTGACGAGCTGAGATCTACCTCAGGCGGCTATGCACACATTGGACCCTGGACGCAAATTTGCATAAAAGAACATTTGCATTGTTACCGCCTGTCCGATAAGGAGAGGTTGCGAATTCCTGGAAGCAGCCCGACAGATGACGCATGAATCAATCGACGTGTAGATTTAGATGTCTGATGCGAATTTTTCGAGGACAGATGGAAGCGAACGCAACCAGTACCGAGGGGTGAGGAAATACAATTGACGCGCATTGGCGCAGGTTCCGGCCATCCGCAGAATCGTGTTTTGAAGGCGAATAATGTTCTCAGGAAAGTTAAAAACGCTATTAGGTGAATTTTTGAAGTCGTTTCCTCAGATAGTCGATGGACTTGGGAAAATTAACCTTCAGACGCCTTCAACGTTCGATACTCATCCGGTTTTTAGGTTAGTGAGCGTTCGTAGTGTGCGTCATTCTGTATCGATTGGCTGTCGTCCATTCCATTTTTCCTGTGATTTTTGCATACGGCATCTAACTCGATGTGCCAACTGAAGCATGACTAATCGGGGTGAATGGTTTCAAGGAACTCTCGGCCTTCCTGGAGGATTAAGCTACGGTGGCTCGAGTATTATCCCAGGTGAATGTGTGCTCGATGCAAAGCGCGTGTGTGGACATTTGAGACTGATCGTCTCGCCTCTTAACCGGTCATGGATGCTTGTGGGTGCGTGTACATACAGATTTTCCCCTCTTGACGCAATATGCGGCATCAAATGGATTAGACAGGATCTTTTAGATGACTTCCTTTTGATCAAGATAGCCAACCCTACCCTTAGGGCTTAAAAGTTGAGTGCGTAAAGTAGTCATCGATTTGTGCATCACCCTAATTTGGCGTTCCGTCAGGGGTCTTTCGGCGAGGTCAGACACATTCCATATATAAGGAAATATTCCCCAAGTATTTGCTTTGGGTTTTTGATTCGAGCTATCTTACTCCTGTTCCCTTGGCTTTTGATGTTTTATGCATCATTGTACATAATCTCTAGGGCACCTCTTTTGGGAGGATAATTCAAGCAGTCAATTTAACTCGAGTCAGTAGCTTCCTTCATGAAAGCAATGTGTATTCGCTCGATGTGGCAGACTGTTGACAGCACCCCGCATATAATAGATTGGGACGTTATTTTCACGGTGTATAATTAATTCCGCGTATGTTTCTTTGCGTAAAACGGGAATGTGTAAGGCTCACTCGGTCTTTGCTGTGCGAGAGCATCCGGAAATGGGAGTTTATTGTCAGCTCCCCTCCCGGAATTGTTGAACTGATGGCGTTGTAGAGCGTTTCCAGTTGCCCTTTTTTAATAACGACAAATTTCTTACCCATATTGTCAAATTTGTTGCGAATTGGAACTTGGAAGCATTTCATTAAATTGGAAGGGCAGCGTCATGGGTGAATTGTGCGTTCGGATGGGCAGGTTGGGAGCGATGCTTTTGAGTTTAGAATTGTAGCGAGGAGCAAAGTGCCGGTCGAACGGCATTGCCCTTTCTCCAGAGTATTAGTTATGAACAATATTCTGTGCGTGGTCAAAAATAACATTTTATTCGGTATGCCGAAATGTTGTCCTGCGATATGCATAAAGCGCTGATAGCAATTTTTATTATTCGTCAATCTGTTTGCTTTTCTATATTTATTCTTCACTAGCCCGATGCTCCTTCATCCGATTTTCTGATATATTTCAGGTCCTTGTGACAAGAAGAAAGTTAATAGATGCGAAAATTTACTTCCTTCAAGTTAACTGATATTAACTGGAGTAAAATGAGGATCGCGCCCAGAGAGCTTATTTTAAACAATGCAATTCCCTGCAAGAGTACTTGATGATACGCACACTGCGCATGCCATTAATTTTCAATGTACGAAGGCGTTAAAAAGTCTTCTTTGCCAGCGACACTTAATAATAATTACAATTTTTATTCAAGACACGTGGGAGTCCTTTTATAGCAAATAAGGATGACTTTTACATTAATTTTAGAATTTTGGACGAAGTATACAGAAATTATACAATACTTCATTCATGGTTATAGAATATGAAGCATGTTACGAAGAATGTCGGGCGAGCAGTGACAAAAATCCTAACATAAACAAAATGAAAATGACTGGATTACAACTGTAGGAGAAAAAACTCTCGCTCCTTAATATATAAAAAGCAGGTGGGACCGGCCTGTATATGGCACTGAATAGCGGATTTGATGAAGGGTTAAGAAGGCGGGTCAGGCATTACTGGTCTGTATGTGGTCATGAGTAAAAGGTTCGACACGGGCATCATTAAGGCAGAATTCCTATGCCGGATGAGGCCATTCATGCCAAAGTGGCGAATAGTAAACCAGCCTCGAGGCGATAGGAACCCAGGTACCATCAGTTACATTCAGTCGAGTCCAGCCGTGGAGGGGGCAATGGAGGTGCGACCACACTACTAGTGTATGGCGCCAACAGCGTCGATAGAGCGCATTCTGTGAGGGCACGATGCAAGAACCGAAAAAACGAAAAATTAAAATTTCTGATTACGGATCCTAGGAAGCGATAGGACTCACAAAAGAAGGGAATGTGAGCAGATACTGAAAGTTAATGGCGGCGTCCTTAATACCCGGTGGCCCTTTCTCAGTGTCATAGAAAAAGTTGTCCGGGAAGGA